AGTTTGGTCTCATGATGACTCATTTACAAGAGAGACCTGCTAACATACAAGCTAAAATGAGCATAGCTTACAGCTAAAATTAGGAAATTCAAAGTTAAAAACTATAATTAGCAGAATTGTGTTTCAAAATTAAGATTACCAAAAACCATAGGTTAAAAAAATTTAAAAGCTAAACTGTATCCAAGCGTTTAAATTTGCAAAAACATATCTGAAAAGCTAAAATTAACTAAAATGTGGCTTAAAGCTTAACGATTTAAAAATGTAGATAAAAGCTAAAATAAAAAAAATAGCTACAAAACTTTAATTAGTTTAAATTTATACAAAAGCTTTATGTCTTTCTAATTTTAAAATCTTTTTTTTGTGCATGTGTATGTTAATGTATTTTCAAATTGTAATTTGTTAGTTCTGTTGGGTTGCTGCGCATCAAATGTGCTGCGTGCGTAAAGTTTGACTTGACTTTTTACGTTAACGCCACTTTAGTAACATTTACACATTTCATTTCAATAATGAACATCTTTATAGACTATTTTTAAGTTAAAGTGGTTACGTTATGAGCTTCAATTATTGTCAAATCACATTCACGTTGAGGTAAAGAAGATCAAATCTGTTTACTTGTGAAATGAGACACGTTTTCCTTTTCCTCTTAGGTTGATACAACCATAGCGCACAGAGCTTTGTGGCATTTTTACATTTTTGTATACATTAATCGTTGGTTCCCCAACCCTGGTCCCTGAGGAACACCACCCTGAATGTTTTAGTTGTAGCTCTGCTCCAACACACTTGATTTGAATGAAAGGGTGATTTATAGGCTTCTGCCAAACTTAAGGAAGTAATTAACCACTGAATCAGGTGGAGCAGAGAAACAACTAAACATGCAGGATGGTGTTCCTCAAGGACCAGAGTTGGGAACCATTGCATTAGATAGCTTATTCTAAAATTATATTAATATTATCATTATCTTTGACAGCTTTTACATAATCAGCCCTTATTGTTCACTATTTTGCCAACATCTACAACAATGCCAAGTCCAGACGCATGTCCTTATAGCTCCAGTCCCTCATGTGAATCATGTCACATGACCAATCTGCTTTTCTTATGTCACCACTGGATCTGCTTTATGGTGATGATATCCTGTTTTGTACATCTTTTGCTCAGACAGGATTTTGTTTAATAGATTTGGACGAAGTTACCTGTTCGTTTGAAATTGACTTCAAGTGCTATCCTGTTAAAAAAATAGCAGTAAAATTTTAATAAATTCAGATTTGTACTCACTGTGTCCGTCCATCCATACTGCCGCTTCCTTTGTTGCAGGGGTCCTTGTTTATCTCCAGAGAGAGACGGGAAACATCACTTGTCCATCACAGGGACACATAAAGACAAAAAGCATAAACGCCAACCTGATATTTGGTGTGCTAGTAGCTAGGGGTAATCCCCAATACATATTCTGAGCGAGTGCTCACCGATTGCACAAGACTTGAACTTAAAACTTCAGTATTAACTTTTTATTTCAGTATTAACTTTTTAAAGTCAATGTGTGTTTAGCTAAATATCTCCCAAACGACTGCGCAGATTCAAATAAAACTTAAAAAAGTGATAATTGGGTGATCATCTACAGCTGATTAGCTTTTGGAGTTGACCCAATTCAAGATGGCCGCTGATAGCAGAAACCAGCGCCATAGAGACGGCTTTTTATTTCTTTATCTCTGGCAGAAACATAAAAAGTTATTACTGAGTCAGTTTCTCAGCTATAAGGCTTAATGATTGATGTGGATGTAGCTGAGACTCATTCACAACACATACTGAGCGTGACATCTCTCCACAATCATGTTTCAACATATTTTTGCTACTATTGGTGGTCTGGCTGGTTTTTAATTTTTCTTTTAAACAAACTTTATTTACATATAAACAGTATACAATCACAGACAGTAATAGTAGTATGCTCGAGGTTAGCGGGTAACAACTGCAAAAGGATTCAAGAGACAAAAAAAAAAAGGTTACAAATCAAATTCTTCGTAAGGCTTCAAGTTTCATAGCTTTAGAATTAGTACAAAGTTTTAAAGAGTCCAAAAAGCAGCTCACATATGCTTTGAAGACAGTGAGGTTGGGCTTTAACATATTTGCTGCTATGTATGTGGAATTTACCCAACAGGATAAGAAAGTTAATGACATATTCTATCCCAGATGTTCTAATATTAGAAATACCAAAGAAAACATGTTGAACATGCAATGTAACATGTACATCACATTTTCTGTTAAAAAGATGTTAAGATCACACCAAAATGTTTTACTAAAAGTGCAGTCCCAGAAAAGGTGGGTCAGTGTTTCAACTTCAAGATGACAGAAGGAGCACAGAGGATCAATATTTGGAATATATTTAGCCAGTACTGAATTTACAGGATACTATTTGTGTAAAATTTTAAGAGACACCTCCCAGACCTTATTTGAAACAAAAAAAATTCTTGGCAACGACCACATCTGTTCCCAATCGATGTCAGAATACAGATTGTTCCAAAAAAAGATTGAAGCAGGTTTTACTAATTTATTCCATCTATCTATCTATCTATCTATCTATCTATCTATCTATCTATCTATCTATCTATCTATCTATCTATCTATCTATCTATCTATCTATCTATCTATCTATCTATCTATCTATCTATCTATCTATCTATCTATCTATCTATCTATCTATCTATCTATCTATCTATCTATCTATCTATCT